GCTGTGCCCTTAGGATATATGTTTCTGTAAGTATTCTAAACTTCAAAAAAATTTACCCCCCAAAAAACCGTGCATAGAATTTAAACATTAATAACAAAATAGAGAGCAAAATAGACGCCAAATGTTGCAGGACAAATAATTTCTTAAAAGCTTACATGATCACAGCATTTTTGAACTTCCAAAAATATGTTTGGTATTGCGGATTTAGGGGTGAATTAATCTCTCCCTCATTCTCAAGGAGCTCATAATCATGTCATTTGTTTTATTATTATTTTATCATCATCATTTAGTTTTGATTAATAGGAGTAAGATCGATGTGATCCCAAAGATGTGAAAGTAATTCTTCAACATTAATTCAACTGAAAGGAGACTTAGTTAAATAAACTAACATTTCTGTTCCATTTAATAATGGAAGACACAGACACAGAACACTCCTTACTACTTTTTAGACTTACAAAATATTTCTGCTCTAATTTGAAAACAGCTGCAAGTGTTGATATATTCTTGGCAAAAATGCTAGCACAAAAAATTTGAGAAACAAACTGAATTTCTAACATGTAGCCTCTCTCTCTCTCTCTCTCTCTCTCTCTCTCTCTTTCGTAGTATGACTAAGACTTTTACGTGTGAGATGCATGCTCTGCTCTGTTTCCCATTAGCGATTGCATTTGCAGAGCCCGTGGGGGGCTCCCAGCAGCCACAGGCACTGAGGAAATGAGGCTGTTTGTTTGGACCCTCTCACTACCAGCATGTGATCGCAGCTCTGGTCTCATTTGCCCCCACCATGCAATCTTGTTGACTCATTTTTATTCCTTTTCCTCCCTTTCTCCCACTGCATGGGGGTGGACATTAAATGTTCTTGCTTGGGGAATAGGATGGACTAGAGGGAATGGAAACGAAGCCCAGAATGTCACCTCCAGGTCATTGGTCTCTGTCCAGCTGCAAGCAGATGTGGCTACAATTAGTTGCCATGTGACAGCAGTTTGCTGGACGGCAGCGTGTGAAATGAGTTGGTGGGCTTCGTGCGTGTCCGCTGGGACCCACGGGTGGAGGTGCCTCTGGAGGTCGACCCAGGGCGAGTCCTCCCGCAGCTGTGAGTCACCGGCCTGACACACAAGAGTGGCTGGTGAGCCCATCAAGTCCCCAGCATCCCGGCCCTATGAGCATGTCCCAGAGCAAGTGACGAGTGGGCCAATGCGGAGGCCTGAGAAGCCCCAGCCGGATGACACCCACATTCCCGACAGCACAGGCCTGTCCCAGGCCGGTGGGGACCGCGCTCAGCCCCTGTCCTCAGCGGCCTGCCTTCCGCCCTTTGCCCCTCCGGGTTCCCCGCCGGCTGTCCCCTTCCGGGACTGTCCCGAGAGCCACAGACACGCACTTTCCACCCCGCTCTGAAGACAGGCGTGGGAAAGTGCTGGAGAGTCTCTGCCCTTTGGGGACA